CCCTCCGACGGGAGATGCCCTGCAAACTCAACTCATTATCAGTCAATGACAACGACGCACCTAGGTTGCATTTAGATCTCACACACCCTTGATCCGATTCTCAAAGTCCGATGGCTCCACAGTCGAGAGAATGCCACGAGGTAATTTTCAGGCGAGCTCTCGCCGAGATGGTTCCAACGTTCGGGATATATACTGCCTTAGCTGCAGAGCAATCGAGCTTCGAAAGAAGGTCCCCGAGGTGTGCTATCCAACGTGCGCAACCTACCGTGCTCAACAGCACCACCGAGGGAAGACCAAAGTATTTAAACCGCACATCCCTCCAATACCGTGTTCGCGAACTATGGATACACATTTGCCGGCGAGAAAGAGAAAAAAGAGAGCACGATAGACTACGACAACGACAACTCTGGGAAACAACACATCGCTCTTCCTCACCTCAATTTGCTCCAACAGAATCCATCCCCCTGGTTCGTGCACGGCCTGCTGTGCCCCGGGCTACAAGGGTTTCCGAACCAGACAGGGGGGGCGAGGGGGTGCGTGGGTCAACACATACACGCGCGGTGGACAAACAAAAAGGAGACGGGAGGCGGTACAACAGAAAAAAAAGGAAACAAAAACTAGGGTCTAATGGCAAAGACGAATCAAGAAACAGACTACCGACAGCTTACTTTCGTTCTTCAGGTCGTTTGGTTGGATGCCAGTAGAGCATGTTTATTGTTTTCTTACGCCGGGATTCGAACCCCTGACCTGACCTCTAGCACGTTTCGAGGGTACCAACTAGATAGAAAGGGAGATAGTTATAGAACGGCTTTAAATTGGAAACCGCTGTCTACACCGTATTCTAGAAACTTTCCACAGCACTTCAAACATAAATATAACATCAGAAAGCGAGACACGCAAGTCCGCAAAGCCGCAAAGCAACGTAAACAAACCAACAAAAAGCACGGCGAAAAAAAATAACAGCAAAAAGCCCAACCCAGCATCAACACACCAGGACAAAATGAAAGCATCAACACGGACAAGAGAAACGACGCAAAACAATAAGTCAACGGAGAAAGACAAAATAATCGAGCTTCAGCCATATGCCATGCCATGTCATGCCAGCAGCTCCTCGGCTTAAGAGCCGTTTTGCACAGCAGCTATTTCGCTTCGAATTTTTAACTTTCAAATCCGCAGACCATTGCATGTAGAATCTCGGTTTTCGGCCGAGGACAAAAATTGGAAAATCGGATTTTGAAAACAAAAATTATTGTTTGAATGACTTGATTCCAAGATTGTTGGGAAAAAATTGAAATCTGCGACGAACGTCAGAACGTAGAAAAATTAGAAAATAATTGTGGAAGCAAAACAGCCGTGGTTCAGAATGGCCCTTACCTCAGCCTGCTCGCAGAAGGCGTTCGGTGGGCAGTACAGGCCGAAGGTCATCTGCCTGAAGGCCTTGTTCTTCCAGCCGTACTTGGCGAACTCTACCAGTCGATCTGTCACAGGCTGCGGGTCATTCGCGTAGCCGCACCACTGCATGGCAGCGCGGTCAGTGGGAGTGAGGCGCGGTGTGCGGTCGGATTGGGTCCCGAGCGGCGGGATTTATTCTTGTTTCGTGTAAGTGGCAGTGAGGCGCGGTGTGCGGTGGGATTAGGTCCTGAGCGGCGGGATTTATTGTTCCGTTTCGTGTAAGTGGCAGTGAGGCGCGGTGTGCGGTGGGATTAGGTCCTGAGCGGCGGGATTTATTGTTCCGTTTGGTGTCAGTGGGAGTGAGGCGCGTTGTGCGGTGGGATTAGGTCCTGAGCGGCGGTATTTGTTGTTCCGTTTCGTGTTAGTGGGAGTTAGAGACGGTGTGCGGTGGGACAAGACCCTGCTGGCGTGCACCATCTTGTACGGCACACATCATGGCTGCTTCCTGAACGTGGGGCGGTAACCCCCACAAAGAAACTCAACACAATTCAGCGAAGACGCAAAGAGCAACATATTTCCGGATATATATATATCGTTGGGTCATGCAAACAAAAAAAAACGACACCAACTGCACCATCATCATCGACAATCCACTCGTTCCTATCATGAACCTCGTGGGGACTGCTGTCGTAAAATCTATTGAATGGCAAATCTATCTGAAGCACAAGGGACGCACTCGATGCAGTACAGCAGTATGAACCACCTTCATATCTTCGTATCGCTTACGAACAGAAAACAAAATACACACGAAAAAAACAAGAAACAAATCAGCGCCGTAGTTACTCTGTACTCGAAACTTGCTGCGAAGTTGATGTGAATCGTATCATCATAAAAACAAGTAGTAGCCCCATCAAGGCGTGATGCAAGACGAAAGTGAAGCAGGTGTAAATCAGCTGCCAGCTGCCATCAGTAACGTTTCCCAACAACCTCGAACAGCTCAGACAGTTGACCGACATGGTTTTGACCTCGAATAGAGCCCAGCGAACCTCAACGACTAAAAACAAACAAACAATGCAATCTTACTATAGCAAAATATGAATAAAACAGTATTGTTAAGCGGAAGTATATTTTACCTTTGGTAGCATGTCTTGCACGTCACCGTCGGAGCAAAAAATGCAAATCTTAATGCGGCAAAATCTTTAAGTAGCAGTCTTATAAGCTTACCGTGTTTGACACAAGATAACACACCCCCTGGGCCGATTTTCAAAGCTCGGTTACTCCACGACGAAGAGGATGCATAGACGAAAGGATACGTTTGAGAGAGCTCTCGAACAGATGGCTTCAACGCCGCCGTTCTCGGCACTGTAACTGTTGCTGCTTTTGAATAATCGAGCTTTGGAAATCGGTCCAGGGGGTGTGTTATCTTGTGTCATATACGGTAAGTACATAGAGGTATTACCTTTGGTGGCCTGTCCTGCACGTCACCGTAGGCGGGACAATAGAAGAAGGCTGACAGCAGCCTATCTATCGGATGTCTCATGACGGTGAAGTACTCGCACTCTCGGCCGATGACCTCCAACGGATACCTTGAGGAACACAAGCAGAGTTCGAAGACCACGCAACATCAAGATCAGGATCGGCTCCCAGCAAAAGTGATATGCACATGAGGAGGACGTACAAAAGACAACATCTTCCTACAATCCAACATATTACCCATCGACTAAAAGTTGTACACTTGGGAATCCCATACTAAAACCTGTATACTTGAGTTTCCCACCTTCATCCATATCCTGTGTTGCCATTTCTTTGCCGGGTCGGGCAAAAAAAACGAGCAGCACAAGGACGACGTGAATACACAAGACAACATCAACCACCGTACATGACACAAGATAACACACCCCCTGGACCGATTTTCAAAGCTCGATCACTCCACGACGAAGAGGATGTATAAACGAAACGATACATTTTCGAAAAGCTCTTGACGAGACGGGTTCAACGCCGCCATTTTCGACGCTGTGACTGCTCCTGCAGTTGAGAAATCGAGCTTCGAAAAATTGTCAAGGGGGTGTGTTATCTTGTGTCATATATGGTATGCATACAGAATGTACAGCATCCTGCGAGAATCTCTTTCTTAGGGTTGATGGAAAAACAGAATGCAAAAAAGTCCTCGCGCGAAAGTGTCAAAAAAAAATTGCAAGTCACTCTTGTGTGTGACACATCCCTTATCGGAGCTCCGCGGGGTGGGCGGGGCAGGGGGAGGGGAATCGCGAGCGGCGGAGATGCAAAAAAAAAAAATGCAAAGTAAGGCGTGACCGGATCAAACCCTTTGGCAGAAAAGAGTTACAAGAGGTAAGCCACCCAGCCGGTGTTTATCCCATTCAATCTGAAAACCCTTGGATAGGTTACATTTAGAACGCGCAGTCTTCGTAACAGTATTTGGTTTGATGTTTTCTAAAAAGAGGTGACAGACATTTCGGGGTCCTTCAAGCGGGAGTCACCGAACCCATCCCCAAGAGTCCCACACCACCCACGCCACAAAGAAACCGCTTCGACGATCGTATACCATGCCGTACAAGTGCTGGAACGCGATTTCCTGCCCCTCCATGCCTACGAAAAAACAAATTGTAAACCGTACTACCATCTACCGCTGTGCGTTCTCTGGGTGGTACTTTGGGACCTCAAATGCTCTGCGTATCCCGCGATGCCTTGCAATGAATCAACCGTAACCGCGCACTGCTCCTACTGCTGTCGTTTCTACACTGCTGTGGTGTTTCGCCATCTTCACCTCAAAAGCTCTGCGTATCCCACGATGACCGGAGCGCTGTGCATGGCCTTCAGACAGCTATCCTCGTACCCAACCCCATTCACGCACATGGCTGGGTTGACAGCGGGCACGGTAAGGGAGCATGTTCGTGGGCAATGGGGGGAGGATGGGGGAGGATTCGGTTCAACGGCAGCGAGTGGTGCTGGGGGTGATACAGCAGTAGTACGAAGGATGGCAAGAACTTGGCGTAGCAATGGTGTAAAAGTGTCACGGAAAGTGTTGCCAGACACGTTGTCATCAAAACGACCGCCTTCGCGAGAAATAAGGTTGATGAGGAAATAGAACAGGGAGGGGCTACGCAGAACCTATTCTCTAACCCTATCCCTAACCCAACTCCCCCAATAGCATGCTGTATCCAACATATTTGCTTAAAATAGAAATACCCTGCGAAGGGAGGGGAGCTAGATGCAACGGTCCAAGTAGGCACTCCACGCTGCCACATGCACCAGCAACAGCGATCGTGTCAAAACGATTTCCCGGATGGTAAACATCCCAAGTACATCTGGACCATTGAGTATTCCAAGCATCGAGTCATCGAGCGAGCTCATCAACGAAAGTACGTCGAGTCTCAGAGCGGCTACGAATGAAGCACGCTTCCAAAGCCCACAACCTGGGACATCCCATGAAAGGAGCGTCAGGTCACGTGTGTGTGTGTGTGTGTGTGTGTGTGTGTGTGTGTGTGTGTGTGTGTGTGTGTGTGTGTGTGTGTGTTTAGCATCGACCGCGCTAACCGGCTGACCAATGAAAACACGTCAGTCTCAGTGTGTGTCTATATTACTACAAATAGCACCGACCACGCTAAACGACTGCCTGATGAACAGAAGTCCCAGTGGGGCTAAAAGCTCTCAAGACCATGATCTGGCACCAAACTCCGTGTGTGTGTGTTTTCTTCCCATCTATTCTGGGCGCCAGGCTAGAGCACTCCCTTCGGAACAAAGTTTGACCCCCAGCCGGGGTCACACAGGAGGAAGAAGGTAAAACGCTAGAGTTCTTCACCC